AAACAGCAAAAGGTACGTGTACCTTTGCAGTGAGTCCCCAAGAAAGATGTTCTGAAGAGCAAAAAGGGTGTGAACTGGAAGCAGGTGTTTCAGCTGCTTTATCTCAGGAGGCAGCTCCTGACCAAAAGCCTAAAGCTGTTCATCAGGAGATCTGTAAGGATGGTACTGCACAAGTGGAGCCCAAAGACAGAACCTTACTTCCATCAGTCTCCATAAATATTCCTTAAATGCATGGAATTTCTGGGAAGCTTTTAAGCACCACACACACCTTCAACTGCCCCTTTGCCTCATACACATTCTCTGTTAAACCTATTTGCCTTTGCTGAGACAACAAATCACTGCCTTTCAGAGTGATTTTAAACAAAAGCCCACTAAACTGAGCTTTGCCTTGATGATCTTCCAACTATGAGATGGTTTTAAACAGCTAGTTCTCAGGCAAAACCACAGAATGCTCATGCTTTGACAGAAGCTTTCTCAGTTCTCTCGTGGGAGTTTCAAGACTCTTCAAAGTCTCCCAGATGCTTTGGGAACAAACTGTCAGAACTGGTGGGGTCTGATGATGAATGCTAGTGCTGTTCCATAGGAACAAGCTATTCACTTTTCCTGCATAACAAAGATACCATTAGCTAGTGCAAAGAGGCTCTTTAAAACCCTCCACCTGCACAAATAGGTGCCCAGGCTACCAAGTTACCTTGGGAGGGCATAACCAGCCTACTGTGCAGTGACCAAGTGGTTTTTGGGCATCAAACTTCTGAGGTTATTTAAAATTCAACTTCATTACTGAACAATGTTCTCCAACTGCAATGGCAGCATACACAGTATGGGAACTGGTTCAGGGTTACTGTCCTAATTTATGAAAAGAATTATCCTATGGTAACAGCTTTTGGGCAATATGAAAAAAAAATGTTGGATTTAACCCATAAAAAACACAACTACCACTGGTAGTCAGGAGACAGCAGTGTCTGTTGCAGGTTCCACACAGCACATAACTTACTGCCAGTCCTGAGGATGGATCAATGAAGTCAGCCCAGTAGCCTTCAGAGCAAATTGCATAGCAGATTTCCTTGGCACCATTAACGAACTTGAAGAAAATAAAGGGAAAAGAGGATATCACATGAGATTTCTCTTACATGTACATGCACATCAGATCCAACACATTCCAAAAATGCACTTGTACAGATTTGTTTCGGCCTCCACTAACAAAGGAGAAGTTCAGCCTACTTACAATAAAAATATTAATAATATTAAGAGGATTAGAATTAATGACATGCACAAGGCCACTCCAATCATATGAGATTTAATTCTGTTCCTTGTGCCAGTCAGTAATGGATTAACAGCTTGCCCAAGGAATCATGTAATTGCCTTCATTATTCATGGAGATTGCAATCCTACCTCTTAGCCTCTGTAAGAAGTCAACCATTACTTCAGGAACTGCTGTGTTATTTCCATGAGTTGACAGATCTCCCTAAACGCCCCAAAATCTACCCCAAAATCTGACACTAAATATATTTTTATAAATATAAGAAAAACATGGTTTTGCTGTAAGGTCTCAACTCAACAGGACAGTATTATGTAGTTCTTCCTGCACTATAAATGATTTTCAAGAGCCTTTTAGTTTTGCACCATGATAGCAGGTCACAGAGACATGTGATGGTTCTGAAACCATCCCTGTACTCTGAGGAAAACATGTCCAAAAATCTAAACAAGCTGAATACACTGAGCTAGAGTAAAGCACAAAGAGGATTCAGTTATAAAAGCTGGACTGTTCTCTATAATTAGTGCCCTTAACAGCTCAAGGTTTCAAACTGACAGAAATATTATTAGTTACTCAGCTTCAGACCCTTTGTGGTCCAAAATAAGGAAGTTTAACCTTTACAGTGATCTGTTCTTTAGTTTGAAGTTTGATAGCCCTGATGATTAACTATGCTTCAACTGTAAATGAAGTCACAAAAATAAGAAAGCCATCTGAGGAGAGCATGTTAGGCACTGCACTTCAGATACAGCACCTCTTTTGATCCAGCCATCACTCGGAGCAAGGTTAACAAACACTTGACATGTACTACTGTAAACATCAGATCTGGCTGTACATAACCCTCATTACTTGAGCACAGGCCTCTCACATTAAATTAGTAGTTTTAAAGTTCTTTCTAACCATCTATGAAGCAAACAAACAGACCATTTTCTTGTGAATTTGCTGTTAGTAACCTCCTGGCCTAAAGGTTACATCCAACATCCTAACACCCCTACAGTGACTATATTAGACTTGACAGGGAGGTGCACAAGGAAGAAAGATGCCAATTAACATATAATTAGACCAGATTACAACGCCAAAGACCAACAGACCATAAATAATTCAAAGAACACACTAAAATGAGGGAATTTTAATTTGTGTGTAATCATCCTGTCGATCCTTCAGACTGCTTCTTCCTTGTTTTGTGGTGGCCCTTGCTCTGCTTTCTGCAGGTCACGTTTGCACTTTGCAGGACAGAAAAGGACATCACCAGACAGACTGCTTGCAAACATAAATATGACCCTGGTTATACAGATGAGAAGCCACAGATTGATTTTTTAATTAGTTTTTAGAAAAACTGTAACAGTTAATAGGTAGGGAAGATGTATTCTGAGGGGCTAAGAATGGTGAACACTGACATCTCCTGGAGTTCGCACCAAAGACCTGAAAATGGGAAATAAAACGGTTTTCAGGGAGCCCTCTAGTGGCAACAGAACAAGGAGACAAAGTTCCTGAGGGTTGCTAAGTCATAAAAGTACCTGATGCTCAGACTAAAAGCATTAATCATAGCCATTATCAGAACAGAAAATAAAAGCCAGAGCAACCAGTTTTTAAAAACAAGGAGAGGCTTATGGACAGACTCTGTACAGGAATCTCAGTCATGCCACAGAAACACACAGAGAGCAGAAAAATCCCACAAAATGCACTATACTAAAGCTGAAATAAGGTAAGAAAACAGTTGCTGCCCTTTAATGGGAGAACAATCCAGTGTCTTTAATAATCTGCTGTAGCATTTCACAACATTTGAGCATATTTTTTACTCACCCCACTACAAAGAGTTTAATCCTTCTATGAGACTTTGAAAAGCTACAAAGCTGGAAAAAGTCTAATTTCATCAGCAAGAGAAGATAAGATTAGCTCAAAAATGCTTTAAAAAACACTAGGGTATATTACTGTGATTACTACCAGAGCTAGAAATGGATCAGAACACAGACACAGTTCACAGAGGATTCATCCACAAACAAAATTAAGCTGATGTTACTGTCAGCTACTCACATTTTCCAGCAGCATTTCTCTCTCATCCTCCACCTCCTGACTCCACACTGTCATGTCATTTTTAGTCTTCTGGGTGACAGTCAGGACTGTCAGTCGGTTGGCATTCACTTCTGGGAACATCAACTCAAAGTCTAAAAAAAAAAAAAAAGGAAAATGGGCATATTAGGGTTTGCTCCTACATTTTACTTCTGATTTTTCACTTTTAGACTAAGTTATTGACTCTACCTTAAAGCCTTCCCTCCCATTTAGATCCAGGATGATGTGTGTTTTTCCTCTCAGCTCCAGCACCCAGCAGGCTGGTTTGAAATGGTGATGTTTTTGTGGGAATTAATGCACTGGGGTGAGTTCCTGATGAAAAAAGCAGTTTGGGGAGTGCAATTTGCTTATCCAGGACCCCCTGTTTAGTTGCAGGATTCTAAAAGCCCCAGTACTCTGCACCTTGCAGGATGTGAAAACGTGTCTCTCTACCCAAAGATATAACACCAAGTAGAATAATATTTTAATCTTTTTAATTGGACACTACCAATGTTCTCCACACACATTAAGTGTCAAGATGCTTATTTTCTGGCTAAGCCTCCTTACACTGACTTTTAAAATGAAATCTTTCAGTTGAAATGCCCTGGATCTACTTCCTAGGACACGATAGCAGACTCAGTCATCAGGAGTGTACTACTAACATGATTTGAGACAGTTCTTCTCAGGCCCAAACCCATCTTGATTCCCTCTCTCCATCATCTACTGGACTACAAACAGGAAGGCACATGAAGCACCAGTGTCATGAAAAGGCTCCATGAAGCCCTGTTTTCAGTGTGGGAGAAAAAAGAACATCCCAAACTTAAAAGTTGTGAGGTTCATTCTTACTCTCTGAACAGTCTGCTCTCTTCAGCATCTAGACCAGGATTTCAGTCTCTTCTCTCTTTCAATAGAAGACACTTAAAATTGCAAAGTTCTAGTCCAAGTTAATTTCAATCACCTTCTCCTTCAGCAAATTAAAGAAAGACAGACACACGCCCTATGCTTCCAAATAGTTTCATCACTTCAATTTGCTACTGTATTAAGAAGCAGTGCCAAGAGTTGATTTTGTCACAAACTGGGTTTTGGATACTGAATTAGCTCCAGAACCTACCTGATACTAAAGAGGCAGCTGGAGGCCACCTCCCACTCCAGCTGATCTTGTATTTAAATTACACTGAATTTTATTAGACACAAAGTATTGCCAACAGCAAAGTTTCAGCTCTCATTTTATAGGATGTATTTTTTTCTTTTGTAAAACATTAACTCTGGGTGACCCTTTTCCATTACACATTCTGTGGCATCAGTTAATGTCAGAGCCTTCACTTGTATATTTTTACATTTTAAAAAGTTGTGGTTTCTGAACAGTAAGAAAACCAAGTGGAAATCTACCTTTTCGTAGCAGTTCAGGACAAGCTTGTACTGCACATTCTACCTTTGCATTTTCAAAGTAAGTTTCAGCATTATTTATTTGTTGTTTCTGTGGAACATCAGCACCCTGAGAAAAAAAGGAAATGGTCACTTTCCCATTCATTAATATTCACCAGGACTAACACTGTACACCAGCCTATGTTCTGGTGACTGTATCCACTGACACATCCCAGCTGCTTCACCAAATTACCATTTGCAAGGAGATGTAAAACTTGGTTTTTCAAATATTGAAAGTGGGACAGAGAGATATAACCTATTGCTTAAGCCTATCCAGAAATGTCAAGCTTCATGTATTATTGTAACCTGATTATCTCAAAGCCTTAACCAATAGAGAAAATGTTGAAAAATATCCCTCTGAAATAAAGGCCTCAAATATGCACTACAGCAGCAACTGACAGATTTCAGCTATCACCTGAGTCAGAGTAAAGCTTCTATTTTAAAGTCAAACAACAGTTCTAGAACTGATACTGAACCACCAGTACCTTTAACTTTAGCTGTTGTAGTTTGAAAAGCAGTTTTTATTCTTTACAGTTTTTAGTTGTACAGTTTCTAAACAAACCAACCTAGATTCAGATTATTGTGGGTATGCTGGAAATGGAACACCTGAACATTAGCTGTATAGTATTTAAGCTTAAAATGCACCCAAGAAGGCAGTGACAACAGCTGCCTCCTTTGGGATAGCAACTGCTATGGAACAGGCAGAGAATGCCTCAGTTCAGTTTTCTTAGTTTCAACTATGCCATAATTTACAAGGAATTTCAGTAAGTTTCTCCAAGACTGAAATGATATGGCTGAGTAGTACATTCAGCCCTACCTAACACCTGTTTGTATCTGGAAGCTGCAAGAGGAAACTACCTTGAAAGCAGCTTCTGTGCTACAAATTTATTACTTAAAAAGAGAAGGAAAAAAAAAAGAAAAACAAACACAACAGGCCAAGAGCAGCCATGAGCTTCAGTTTCAATCTGTATGTTTCCACGTATCACCTGAAGTATGATTGCAAAGTGACTGGGACAGATCAGTTGGCACTTTAAGCCTGACAAACCACACATTTATGTGGGTCAACTTTTTTCTTCCTAACAATAGGGTGCTCCTCCTACCAGTTCATACAGCTCACTGTCTACTGCTCCCACCCTAGCCAGCTGCACACCACTCACACAGCACCTATGCTTAGCAGGCATGCCGTGATCAAGCAACCACTGCCATTTACTCAGATGAAACAATCACACCAAAGCTCAGCTTGGCCATTTCTCACTGATTCCAGGGCTGGTGCCTGAGCTTCAGCAGCATGAAGCTTTTCTCCTGCTTGCTGCAGCAGCCCATGGGGAGGTTACTCTATTCAGATGATCCCATCATTCAAATCTGGATCCTCTGCTAAGATGAGCAGTTTAGCATTTTTTTGTTAGCTAAATGCTGTTCATGGATTCCTGACCACCACTGGTATAAAGCAGAGCTGACTCGTTGACTTTCTGAATACCAGTTGCAAAACCTGCCTCTGCAGTTTCTCCTTTCCTCTTTGGAGAGCAACAGCTGCATCAGGTGTTTTCTAATACAAGTAATCCTCCTAGAAAGCAGACAGGCATTCAGTGCCCCTGGTTTTCTCTAAATGGGCTAGAATTTTCTGGTGGGCTTTTAACAGACAGTATGATCCACACGAGCAGAAAACAGGACCTGTGAAACTCACCATAAGCTTAGGCTTTCTGGACACTTTGGCATACAATGCTCCAGTCACAAAAGACACGATACAAGGTTTTCACAGTGGATATTTGCCAGTTGAGTTTCCAAAGTCTGAGCAGGTCACGAACTCAAGAGAGCCTGGAAAGTTGAGTCAGCAGCTAGTAGCAACTATCATGTGTTGACATGTTGCAATTATCGAGCTGCTGGCTGTTAATAACCCATCTGAGTCACTGCAAGCTCTGCACACTGCAGCCTGGCTGTGACAGCTGAGGTACTCTCATCTGCCTCTCTCTGCGTTCAGTGCCTGTCAGTACTAAGCAGCCAGATCCAAACACTGCCCAAACTATCCAAGTCCAGATCCAACAAAGGAGATACTGAAGAAACTACCAACTCCATGAGACAACAGGTGGAGAGACTCGGTAAAGAGCAAGTTTTGCAACAGAAGTTTTCTTTTCCTATATCCACACAGTTAAATCACTATTAAAACACTACTTCACTAAGCACTGCTTAGTCAAAACACCCCACACCCTGAAACACTTCTTCCTCCTAAATGACAAAACTTCAGCTACATTCCAGGTAATCTCTCACTCACCATGGTTGAAGTTCATCTTTCAAAACCATCTAGAAAACCAGTTGTATATTTTTAGAAGGAAGAGAGATGAGTTATGTTTCTCTTAAGACCAGAAATACCAGTTTCGCACAGCAGCCTGTTCTTACCTGAAATTCATTTATGTATTGTGCCATCACAAATTCATGCCTTTCACTTGCTGAAGGCTCTGCTAATATATCAGGCAGGTTTTTTGAAACCTGGCTTTTCTTCTGAGAAGCAGTGCCATTAAGGTGACAGTCAAAGCCAATATTACCAGGCAACTGGAATCTCTGGTCCTGAGGACCAAATGGGCCCATCACTTCATCTGGCCATACGGTTCTTGGACCTGCAAAAGCCAAGGCCTTGCTTTAGTCATCACATTTAGAAAGAAAGGAGAAAAACATACCCATATCTGTATTTGATCACAATGATATATAACCAGAGTAACCACAAGGAAAAGGGCCCTTGACATAAAAATCAATTGAGAATTCCCAAATGGATACGGGGTGCAAAGTTCTGATTGCAGGTGAATTGAAAGACAAAGAATTTGCTTGTTCTTACATAAATCAGGAGGTGCAGCAGCAACATGAGGCTCATCTGAGCCAGAGGAACCTGCTGTAGAAAAAGCCCTGGGATTCACAACTCTCTTGACTAAGGAATAAAACCCTGGTAGGTAGGTGACCAATCTTGCTCTGTTACAGAGCACCTGAGAAGACAAAAACAAAGGAAGGATTACATACTAGTTGAAGTACAGCCCTGTGGCTCACAAGAGAAATCCTCAGTCAGTAACCAAATTGCAAGTTTAACTATGATCAAATGTGCTTCTCTAAGATTCAAGTTCTTAAAGCATTTTCTTATTACTTTTATATTTGACTAGTAACAGTACCCAAAGTAAAGTAAAAGTCTCAAACACGCTACTGAAAGGCTCTCCATGTGAGGAAAAAAAAAACCCTGAAAACTTTCAACAGCACCACTGAAACCCCAGGACCCAAACTCCAGGACTGTTCCCATGATTATCTCCATGCACCCATTTCATGACACTGAAGAGCCCTGATCTGCTTTTTACACTTTAAAAACAGACCAACAACTTTCATGCGTAACAGGAAAAAAAAACAACACTCTTGAAACAATGTTAGAAGTGTCATGTTAACATAAATATAAGACTAATTAACTCTAGCACAGAATTACTAACTGCAGCTGCACAGAAGCCTGCACTGCTGGAAAATATAACCCCACCTGCCTTGGCATCTGTGCTTTCATAACCAACTTTATTTCCCAGAGGTGGAAAAGAAACTCAAGAGAAACTGACATAAAGGGATTTTCCTTAAGTGCTGTATTCTTGATTCTGTAGAAGTTAATGTGTGTGTAGACTTAATATGTAGGCAACGAGGTTACTAAAAAATAAAAGAGGTGAGAGAATGGTACTATCTTTATGTTTAAGATAAAATCTCTCTCAAAACATCAGGCCCTAAGCCAGTAAAAATCAGTTTCTCACACACCACCTGTGTAAATACACAATGTCTAGCAAGTTTAACCACCACCATGAAGCCTCAGATGCATAAAGACACACTTGTTTGTCTGTTTTTACATCAAGTGTTTATGGTGAAGGCTGTGTATTTCCAAAACACCACTAGGTTTCTGTAGCAACAACCAAACTCTGCAAATTCCATTTGAATGGGTTTGTTTCCCCCCCCCCTCCATTATGTAAAAGCACCACTGAAATTAATTTCTGCATAACGATGACACAACAGATGTAAACAATTCCAGCTGACAGGTAATTACAAGAAAAGAGCATTTTACCTTATAATCAGGCTCACTTAACACGGAGATGTCGCTGTTAATTAGATATGTTTATTAAGCAAATATTGACAGGCTGAGCAGCACACGAGTGAAAAAACACCCCCCCCGAAATGAATCAATTATTCATGTGTCCATCGCAAGGCTGGGTCAGGAAAGGCTGTTTGAGTGTGAAAAGTACCCGAGGGCTTCACCTGAGCTGATAACGTTATAAAACTCGAACAAAACAGATCCTGCTCCACCCCTCCGCTCGCTTATTCCCGGGATCTGCACCCAAACCGGCTCCCAAAGCCGGGGCGGGGGCTGCCTTTCCACAGAAACGCACCCTGACACAACCCAGCCTGTTTCACCAGCGCCTCCCCCAGAAGCCCGACGGCTTCAAGGCACCTTTTAGAGGGGCCAATAAACCGCAGTAACGCGGAGCAGCGCTGTCCTGGCCCTACAAAACAAGGGGGCAGGAGGGGGGGGGGGGCGGGGATTCACACGGCCCCG